ACTCGACGGCACTTAACAACAACAACAATACATAAAGTTAAGGAGCTTTGGTAGCGTAGTGGTTACGAGTCGGGCTGCCAACCTGAAGGTTAGCAGTTCCGCGGGAGAAAGATGAGGCGATCTGCTCCAGCAAAGATTGACAGCCTTGGAAACCCTGTGCAAGGTCACTATGAGTTGGAACCGACTCCACGGTACTTAAAAACAACAACATACATGAAGTTAATAACAGTCATTTATTACTGCATCATTTTGTTCCTCCAACTATGAAGTCCTTGTGTGGTGCTATAGAATAAATAAGCACTGGGCTTCAATGTAGTTTGAACATAAAGTACAGCAATTTAAACTCACTATCATCTCCTTAGAACCCTACTCAGGATTGCTGTGAGTCAGAACCAGCAGGACATGACATTTCACAACAACAACAATGTTTTTGTAAAGTGCCTTCGAGTCAATCCCGAACCATAGCGACCCTGTATAAGGTTTCCAAGGAGCAGCTGGTGAGCTTGTACTGCCACCCTTGCAGTTCAAACGGCTTTGCAGTCTGGCATATTATCCAACAGCGCCACACCTTAACTATATATTCCTATTTAGCTAGCTATAGAATTTCAACCCTGATTATAATAGAAATTTCTCATGACTAAAAGAGAATATTTTATCCAAGTTACATCGTAAATATTTGCTTGTATTTGAAAGCATACATGCAGCTATTTAAAAAACAATATCCTTTTAGTATTGTTGACATTGTTACATTGATAATTACAGCATTAGCATTTCCCTTAACACAGTAATTAACCATGTTAACTTCAGATATGCCAAAAATGATTTTAAGAAGCGATTTCAACTATATAACCAAAGACCAAGGTCTGAAATTTGACTTTGTTTTCCTTTGAAAGAGTAAATTATTGTGAATATTTTCTGGCTTACAAACCCCTAGGTGGTCAAGCCTCTGCTTGTCCTTTTTCATTTTTGAAACATTTTCCAATGGCTTTGTCTTTTAGATTCAGCTTCGGTGTCTCCTCCTCCATAGCTTTTTCTGTCCACCTGTTTTAATTGTTTATATGTCTGAGTCTTTTTTTATTTTTTCCATTCATTAGAATACAAGTTATATTGGTAATGTGTGAGTGGATGCATACCACCAAGAACATGCTATATAAATTAGCTGCTTAATTGCTGAATTAATGCTTTAAAATGTATAAACTACATCACTACTTCCGTTGTACTTACATATATTTTTGTCAGAACAGACATCTGAAAATTAAATGATAATGGTCTCGTCTCACCCTCCCATATTCGTTCATTTATCTGTTTATTACTGGTGATATCTTTCTGTGTTCCTTGCTTTTACTTTGGTTTCAGATGTTTTCTAATAAGTAGTTATGGGGAAGTTATAAAACATAGTCAAATATAATCACTTTCAGTTAATAGGTAGATTGTTTCACACCCACTTCTGTTACATTGTTTAAAATATCTAGTACTAACATTAAATCATTCAAATTTGTTCTTTTTGTTTTGACTAGTTTTTTAATACTCTCTAATACTCTCTTACTAGGGAACAAAAAATGGTCAAGAAAGTGGAGTTGAAATAGGAATTGACACAATTCAGTTTGGTGCTCCAGCTTCCAATGGGAATGAAAATGAAGTTATTCCTGTGCTTTCTTCGGATAAATCTACTGACAAAATACCTGAACCCAAAGAACAACGGCAGAAGCAGCCACGGGCAGGACCTATCAAAGCCCAGAAGGTAACTATCATTCATATTCCATATAGAATGTTATGAAGGTCACCAACACTTATGGTAAGCAAATATCAGTATAACAGTGACTTTCATTTTTAATAAACGTCTTTGGTTACAATGCATCCTTGTCATTAACGTTTGAATTTAGCTTCCAGATTTGAGTCCAGTAGAAAGCAAAGAACATAAACCTGGTCCCATTGGAAAGGAACGGTCATTAAAAAATAGAAAAGTAAAAGATGTCCAGCAAGTGGAGCCTGAAGGACAAGAGAAGTCAAATCCTACTACAGGCAGAAACACAGACCCTGTCACAATAAAGGAAAACAAAGCCGTGTCAGAAATGTCTACTGAAATAGGAACAATGATTTCGGTGTCATCTGCAGAATTTGGCCCTAATTCAAAGGTAAGCAGCAATTATGTTCTCAATTGACGCAAACTATGCCTAAAATAAGTTACAAAATATCAACAGTATATATTGTAAGAATTGCTGAATATAATTCCATAAACTATGTTGTTAAGTGCTATTGAGTTGTTTTTAAGGAGCAGCTATTTGGTTTGAACCATTAAACTTCGGGTTGGCGGTCCATGGACAATATGGGTTATATCCTACAAAGAACGTTTTATTTTATAATGTACATAAGTCATTTGAAAAATTTTCTATAATGTAAATTTACTATGTGTGTGTGAATTTACTCTTAAATCTACTTAAAATGAAAAATATCTACACAAGATTGGAATGCTTTCAAGTTTGTAGACTTTGAAATAATTGCTATTTATTACTTAAAGAAATTTTCTTTATTATAAGAGTTATTGTTGGAGTCTTAATCATGCCAAATGTTAAGATTTTTAAGTAAGGTAATAAAACAAAAATCAAAAGTTACGAATCATCCTTTCCTAAACTACAGTATAGGCAGTTTTCTTCCAGAGTTAGACTATAGGAAGTAATTGACTTGTATGTAGGGGGGGCTGTATTAGATAAAAAAATCTTATAGTCAGTATAACACTTGGGAACTGACAGCTGTGGGAACAGCATATTTACTTGCCATTTTATGTTTACGCCAGACTGTCCTTGGGATTAAGAAGGAGCATATCCTAAAACCTAATTAACTGTGATACCTTCAGATAACTGACTTTTTAGTTCGTTCATCCACACTGAAGTGAAACAAACAGTAGTAGAAACTACAGATTGAACATGGGAAATACAGAAAAATTTAGTAATCCTCAGAAATATTTGGTATTTTTGACAACCTCTTTATAAATCTTTGCAATTCATTTTTTAAAACATACAGGATCCCACCAGCAGCTTTTCAGTGGAAGACCATGTAATTTTAACCTACTATTGACTGATAAATTAAGTTTGAGTGAGGTTAGATCTCCTCTCTTTTCTCCAAAACAGCTTAACAATTGTGAGATGGTCGTTAGACAGTGGTTCCGTTTAAAACATTTTTTCTATTACTGCTCCACAGGAGTCGGTAACAGACTATACTACACCTTCTTCTTCTCTGCCTAACACTGTGGCTACTAATAATGCAAAGATGGAAGATACATTGGTTAATACTGTAAGTAATCAAGCTGATTCATGGCAAGTTTGGATAGGAACTTACTATCTAGTACATCATTTTAAGTTGTACTTATTATGGGGTCAATATTTGATTATTCTCAGTGAAAGAGTTGGTAGCACATTTGTTTTTAGGAACACTATAATTACCAAAGACAGTAAAGGCTGGTTTTATTGTATATGATTTTTTTCTTGAAAGTCATTGTTTTCCATTCAAAATCAAGATTTGTAATGTGTCATTTCCTAAATTCTAATCCCATTAAGCTGGCTTTAGTAAGAATTTTTGTTCTTTGCTCTCATTCTCCAAATTTAACATTTCATTTGGTAAGTGATTGTTTTAAATGAAACCTTTACCAAATTTGATGAAACCTCACTGACTTAAACTGAAGGAAAATTAGTATTTTCACATACTCAGATATTAATCTTTTTTTGTTGAATCTCAACAACATTCCTGTTGTGAAGCTTGAGCTATAATGCTTAAGTAGTTTAAAAACTCTTAAGTGTTTTATTATTGTTGTTGTTGTTGTTGTTGTTAAGTACCATGAATTCAGTGCAGACTCATAGCGACCCTGAATAGGGTTTCCAAGGCTGTAAATATTTACAGGAGCAGAAAGCCTCATCTTTCTTCCTGAGGAGGAGCTGGTAGTTTCGAACTGCTGCCCTTGTGGTTCACAGCCCAATTCCTAACCACTACGCTACAAGAGCTCCTTTTTATTATTATTTTTTTTATTATTAGGTGGTATTAAGTCATGCTATGAACAGGGCCATACTTTCCAGAGCAGCCTTTTTATAATTAAAGATTGTGTTAAAAGTTAGTATAATTCTTCATTTCATCTAGTCCACTGAGCAACAGATGAAAAAGCATAAGCCCAAGAAAATTAGATAGCCTGCGTGGTCACACTGTATAATTTAGAAGAGCATATTAGAAGATACTAGCATGACTCCTATTTTGTGAAGCAGGTATGGAGGAAATCTGGACAGCTGTTCACTTTTTAAATATTGCCCTCTATAATAAACAAAAGGAGCTCTGGTAGCATAGTAGTTACGAGTTAGGCTGCCAACCTCAAGGTTAACAGTTTGAAACTACCAGGGGTTCTGCGGGAGAAAGATGAGGCATTCTGCTCCCGTAAATATTTACAGCCTCAGAAACCCTGTGCAGGGTATGAGTTGGAACCATCTCCATGGTACTTAATAACAACAACAACAACAAATAATAATAATAATAAGCAAGGAGTCCTGGTGTGGTGCTGTGGGTTAATGCGCCAGACTACAAAGCTGTTAGAACTTGCAAGGTTGGTGGTTCAAGCTTACCAGCTGCTCCTCAGAAACCCTATACAGGGTCGATATACATTGAAATTGACACGACATCATAATAAGCAAGGAGTTCTGATGGAGTGCTGTGGGTTAATGCGCTGGAGTGGTCCAAGCTCACCAGCTACTCCTCAGAAACCCTACACAGGGTCACTGTAGGTTGGAACCAACTCTACAGCACTTAACTAACAACAACAGTAATAATAATCAAGGACTTCTGGTGTGGTGCTGTAGGATCAGCAGTTCAAACCCACCAGCTGCTCCTTGGAAACCCTACACAGGGTCATTAAGAGTTGGAACCAACTCCTTGGAACTTAGCAACATAATAAGCAAAAGCTATCGCAGGCAAATGTTCATCATACTTTAAAAAAATATATCTTCTGCAAATAAATATTTGAACGTGTCCCACAATGGGTTTTAACTATCATTTTGATGATAATAGTCTTGATTTTTGTCTTTTTATAGGTTGTTTCTCTCCCCTCTAAGCCTTCTGTTCTTCCCCTAGCACCTAGTATAAAGAATTGTAGGGGCTGATAAAAATCATTTAAGAAGGGAAAAAAGAAAATCAAACCCATTGCCATCAAGTCGATTCTGACTCATGTATTGACCCTATGGGACAAAGTAAGGTTTCCAATGTTATAAGCTTTGCAGGAGCAGACTGCCATATTAAGAGTTATGTAATTCAATTTTTATAGTCTAGCTAAAGAACTCTTAATATGTAACTATAGAAAAGAAAGAGAAAGGAATAAGTCATTCACTTTCTCTTGGTGATAGCACACCTATTTCAAGAGCCGATTCATGTAACCCATCTGGGGGTGTTATAAAACCCTATTTATCCTCTGCATTCTACCCTTCTTAATGCTTCAAATCTTATTTAAATAATGGAAAAACTTAGGGGAAAAAAAGACTTTGGTCAATGCTGATGTCTAAATTAGATTATCAAATATTGAAATTTTAATTGTGATGTCTTTGCTTCATTTGAAAAACAGAATATATGTAATATGTAACTTAATTTGCTAAGGCGTGTAATTTCTGCCAAACCACCTTCTGAAAATACCATTTACGAAATGGGAATAAGGAAGAAAATACCCAGATGAGCATTTTAAAGGTTTATGTATGATCTGTAAGACTTCATGTAATGACTTACTTGTACCTACACACTGCCATTGAGTCTATTCCAACTCACAGCAACCCTATATGTTTCTGCAATTAAATCTTACAGTAGCTTCTAACCTTGTGGTTAGCAGCCTACTGCCTAACCCACAGCACCACCAGGGCTCTTTATGACTTGTACAGTAGTGTCAGTTTAGGGGAAGAGACTCAGTCATATATAATTGTTTAGGGGAAGAGACTCAGTCATATATAATTGAATAGTCTACATTTCATTGTTAGCAGTACATGTAACAACATATGTTTGAAAACAAAGATCATTTTGAGTGAGGCAGCGCTAAATAATGGTCTCAGTGTTGCTTACTTGTGCCAAGTGTGTGGTGATTCTGAACTTATTTACTACATTGTTTTGAGGGGTGGGGAAATTCCATTGTCATTTAATTCCATTTTCCATGAACTTTTTGATATTCGATATTTGAAGCTCTTTTGGAATATTTCTTCTCTTAATATATTTGAAGGTTCTATTTTATATATGGAAGTTCTGTCCTTTTTTCTTAAAAGATGCTTGTCCTCTTTATTAAGGCTTAATGTGCTTTCTTAGGATCATAACTATATTATTTAATGGTTAGTCTTGAAGAAAGGAGCTCTGGTGGCGTAGTGGTTATGAATCGGGCTGCGAACCGCAAGGTCAGCAGTTCAAAACTACCAGCTGCTCCGTGGGAGAAAGATGAGGCTTTCTGCTCCCGTAAGGATTTACAGCCTTGGAAACCCTGTACAGGGTCGCTATGAGTTGGAACCGACTCCACGGCACATAACAACAACAAGTCTTGAAGAATTGAATGTAGGTGGGGTTTTTGATCATTACAGCTTAGATCTATATGAACTTCCATTAGGTAGTTCATAGTATCAGAAGTCTCTGATTATCTATAGTATCACAAATGATTACTTTCAAGTCCTCAAGGAACCCATTATTACACCTAAAACTTGAGTGTATCATCAAAATCAAATTAATTTTAATTTTTCACTGTGTTAAATGCCAGTAGAAGAACCTGTGGATCTCATAAATGGTAGTAATGGTATTTCTTAGAGCTTTGCTACACGTAGTGTGGTTCATGGAGTAGTAGCAGCAACATTACCTGGGAGCTTGCTAGAATCTCGGGCCCAACCCCAAACCTACTGAATCAGAATCTGCATTAAACAATGTTGCTAAGGTTATTCCTATACATATTAAAATATGCAAGGTATTGCCTTCAAATGCACACCATTTACTTGGAGCAGACTCTTTGTCAATTCATGCATTAAAAGGCAGATAGTAATTCTCATTAGAAGTTTTACCCAAGATGTCAGTTACTAAACACTACATGAAGTCCTGCTGTGTGGCACTGTAGGATAAGCACTGGACCTCAAGGTCTGTTTGAACGGTAAGATCAATAGTTCAAACTCACTAACCTCTCCTCGGAAACCCTATACAGGGTCGCTACCAGTCAGAACCTACTCAACAGCACTTAAAAACAAAAACACGTTGATTTTAAGTAATTAAATAATTCCTGTTGGTTCTGATGGGGAAAAAAAAAAAATCACAACCATAGAGTACATGAGTGTTAACTTTAATGAGGCTTTTGTAGCAGACTTAGTTAGATTGTGATATGTATTGCCTGCCTTTTCAGGTGCCCCTGCCCAACACACTTCCCCTCCCTAAGAGGGAGACTATCCAACAGAGCTCCAGCCTAACTTCAGTTCCTCCCACTACTTTCAGTCTCACCTTCAAGGTAGGTATCTCTAAGGATCCTTGATTATTGCATGCAAGGGGTCATAAATTAACATTTTTTTTAGGATGCTAGTTTTATGTAGTAAACAACACTGAGTTGGAGAAATGGAATGGTGCCAAATTTGTACTTTAAAAGTCTTTTACTGTTAAACACCACTTAGCAATGGCTTGACATTGTAATATTTAAATTGAACTGGCAAATGATTGATAATGAGTGTTTATAAAGGTCCAAAAGGAGACTGATTTGTTTGTTTGTGTTTTACTTATTTGCTTTAGGATTAGTTAGTAACAGGCAGACATACAATCAACTGGGAATTTGTCACATACATTTATTTATGTCATTGGTGCTGTTTGTGCAACTTTATATGAGCAGTTACATAATCCATAATAGCTGGACTTCCTGATGCTGTACTGATTGACATGATATGATGGTTATGATCTCCAGGGGAATGAGAGTTCAATTGTTTTATAAGTTTGAGACAATGAAATTTTATAAAAGAACAACCTCTGCTTTGTGCAATTCCTGTTCTGCCCTTACTCATTTGTTACTGTTTAGTCCAATTCTCGTTCAGCTTTTATTGGGGTTTTTTTTTTGTGTGTGTCACTTGAATGAGTATCCCTATCTTTGTTTCTTATGTCTTATAATATAGATGGGTTTTTTATCATTATCCAATTAGGAATAATATAAACTCTAATAAGCAAATATGTGTTCTTTTTTCTCTAAGTTGGTTGTTAATTCTTCATAAAACCTATAGACCTTTGCTTTTCATTTCAGTTTGCACATTTGTAAAGATGGCATGAATGTGACACCTGACCTTCTGGTTTCACCAGGAACAAGGAAAATCAAACTGACTCTTATAGGAATGAGCTCTTAGGCATGCCTCTAATTTTCTGCCTTGTCACCCAAATCTGATATAACCATCCCTCCCAAAGCACTCCTCGGCTAGGTTTGATCATTCATTGCAGTGACCACACAGAACTCAGATCATTCAAGTATGGGGTTCACTAGGTAGGTTCGGGATATAGTTCTTTTTTGAGGACATCTTCCCAACCATGCCACAAGCAGACATCTCTCTGGCCCTTGGCCTGTGACCAGCTCAAGACAATGTTAGGAAGCTCCTTTAGTGCTATTGATAAAATGCCACAATAAGCCCCAGCCTGAAGGTACTTAGCTTTAGCTCCTCCCCATTAAATACATTTCAGAAGTGCGCCTCCTGTCCAGAGGCACACAGTTTTACTTGCTCTGTATCAAGCTTTGGCTCTTGGTTTTGCTGTTATCACACCTTTGCTGTTACAGCTCTGTCTCCTGGGTCAAGGCAGTTCGATGCTTACCAATCTTTGGTCCAAATGACACACCACACTCCATACTCTTCTAGATGGTAGTGAGATCCTCCTTCCTACTTCTGAGATGGTTCATTTTATACCTGCATTAGAGTTTCAAATTTTTACGACCACAGTTAGCCATCTTAATATCATCCTGTCATCATCTTTCCCACCTTCTCGTACCCAGACCCATCAGGGAAAAAGGTGGTTTGGTGGAAGTTATAAAGACTATGGGTAGAAGTGCCACTTGAAGTAATTCACAACACTGCAACACTCTTAAGAAGAAATATTGTATATTTAGAATTAAGATCAATTTAAATTGCATTTGCTTTAAACTTCTTCTAGTTTCTTTATTTTTACTACTTCATTATTCAAGCATTATAAAAAGTAAAATTTTGTAACATGGCCATTAATAGTGCCGTTTGGTGGTTCCAACTCATAGTGACCCTGTGTAGGGTTTCCTAGGTTTTTCAAATCTTTGAGGGAGCAGAAAGCTTCATGTTTCTCCCACAGAGCAGCTAGCAGGCTCGAACCACAGACCTTGTAGCTTACAGCCTGGTGCTTATCATGTTGTTGATGTTAAGTGCCGTGGAGTCAGTTCCGACTCATAGTGACCCTATACAGGGTTTCTGAGGCTGTAAATCTTTACGGGAGCAGAAAGCCTCATCTTTCTCCCATGGAACAGCTGGTAGTTTCGAACTGCTGACCTTGCGGCTCGCAGCCCGATTCGTAACCACTATGCTACCAGAGCTCTTTATCATAAGGGCCTCAACATGGCCCTTACTGACAGTATATTTTGTCAAAGGAAGTATAGTTAAGTAATTGTACTATTAGTTTCTTCGAATTTCTAAAAATAGAAGCTTTAAATTATCTTAAGAAATGAAGTTAAGCCAAAATGTATGTGACCTATATTATGCAAGGTTTGTTGAAACCTTTGTATTTTCAATACAACCTAAAAAGTTGCTATGAAAGATAATGTACTTTATCCATGTCCTCTAAATAATACAAATCTCAGATGGTGTTGTGAGCTGTAGACTTATTTCCAACTCCTATTGACCCCATGTGACAGAGTAGAGCTGGCTCCATAATAATGTTCTCAAGTTTGTTACCGTTTCTGTAGCAGAGCTGAGCTGCTGGGTGAGTTCAAACTGCCACCCTTAGGGACAGCAGTGCAGCAGCCAGCCATTGTTCCACTCACCAAAGCGCCTTGAAAAAATTCCAGGACAAATGGAAATATGGCTAACTTCCTCAGTTGTTCCCCACTCAGCCTCCAAAAAAAGGTATTTTAAAGCAAATAACATTCAAAATCAAGTTGAGAAAAAAAAAGAAACTCAAGTGAACATCAAAGTGGTCTGTCTTTTGAACTGATAATAATAACTTAAGTCACTTATATTGTGAGTTGCATTATGTGTATTGTGTGTTTTTTAAAGGATGCAGCTTAGAATAATGTGAATATTTCTCAAAGTTTTATGATTAAAATAGAGCTTTAGAGTTTACTACAAGGATCCAAAATATTCACTTTTGAAAAATGTTTACTTCCTAACAGTAATATTAAAAACATTACTCATAAAAAGTAATCTCATGTAAGTAACTACAGTAGAATTTTATAGATTACCCTAGATGGTGGTGTTAGGTGCTGTCAAGTCAGTTCCAACCCATAGTGACCCTGTATAGGGTTTCCAAGGAGCAGCTGGTGAGTTGAACAGCTGACCATGTAGTCCAAATAGACCTTGAGATGTAGTACTTATCCTACCGCGCTGATCAGATGATCATTTATAGTCTGGTCTTTTCCTGTTCAAGTAGACACAGGATATTTGAGCATCTGCACCCTTCAATTCAGAACTCACAGCCCACATGTAGGTGTTGAGCACCATGTGGCTAGTCCAGTTTGAGGTGTGCTAAAGTGTGAAATACACATTGGATCCAGATTTTTAATATTATATACACTTAACTCAATTTTATGTTGATCACCATTGAAATTAAAATACTTTTGATATATCAGTATGCACAAAATACTGTCAAAATTAATTTCTTAGATTTTACTCTATTTAAAATTGTTTGGCTGATAGAAAATCTAAAATTACATAAGTGAATTACTTTTATGGCTGCTTATGAATACTGCTATTATAAATAGGAGACTAGAGCCAAAATCAGAGTCAGCCACAAATGCAAATGACTACAGTAAACTACAGTTTGGGATCTGCTTGCAAAATATGAAACCTACCTAGTTGCATTGCCTTTTAAAGTACTTATGAGCCTAACAAAACAGCGGATCAAAAGATACCTCTTGTCTACCATTTGAGAAGCAATAGGAGGGCCTTGGGTGTTTAATAAGGGCCTTTAGGACCCTTCCTATTACGGAGACAAGGCCTCAAATATGTCCTAAGAGAATCATAATACTTGTTTCCTTGTTCACTGCTAAAGGTGGGGTTTTGTGTAGGCTTCTGTTTCTGTTTTGTTTTGTTTCTCTGATCTGTTTCCCATATCACAAGCACATTTTCTTTAGAGCTTGTGTAGGGTTTCAAACGCTGAATTTTCTCCAGTGAAATGGCTGGAGAGTTCAAATCACTGACCTTGTGGTTTGCAGTCCAGTGCTTTATCCTACAGAGCCACTACTTATATGCTGTAAATATATTCATGAATAAGTTGTTAAGTGCCGTCGAGTCGGTTCCAACTCACAGTAACCCTGACTAGGGATTTCAAGGAGCAGCTGCTGAGCTCAAACCGCCAACCTTGCAGTTCAAACCGACTTTGCAGTCCCGTGCATTAGCCCCACAGCAGCATACCAGGAGTAGAGCATGAAGAGGAGCAACATTATGACAGCATCTTAGCCATAATCAAACACCTTAAGTGGAATGAGTTACTGGGCCTGGGGGTATAGGACCATAGTACTGGAGGCACTAAGGTTAATTGGCATAATATAATAACATAGTTCACAAAGACAGTGATCTCCATCCTTCTTTAGTGAGTAGCAACTGAAATGGTGAAAGAATTTGAGTGACCATCTGTGGTGCAACTATTGGTGGTCTACCTGTCCGGAGCAAAAAAGAGAGAAGAAAATCAAAGACACACGGAAATAATTCATCCGGAAATAATTCATTCAGAGGACTGATGGATCACTTGAACATCAGTCTTCATGTAACCTGGATACGAGAAGAACTAGATGGTACCTATCTATGCCTGCCAATCACTCTGAAAAGGATCCCATTAGTGGGTCCTGGTTAGTGTATGAAAAATATGAGGAACAAACTGAAAAATGTAAGACTAGGCTTACTACCATCAAGAGAGAAAGGCACGAGTGGAGTGTGGGATCCTAACCAGAAAGGGGGCAATAACAGAGGCAGTGACATAGACAGAGCAACTGAGGACTCTAGGCCTATGGGATGAGAAAGGCCATGTACCTGCAGGCAAGAGGCTGGCTACAAAATGTGCCCTTTGGACATTTAAAAGAGTATATATTTTCATTGTATTTTGTGTACACCAAAGGGTCGGGGGAGGAAATAGAGGTAAATATTGTTAACTGATGGAGATTAGAGAGGATTGTAATCATTGCAATGAAAACAATATAATTTGTTGAGTGTAAAAATGATTGTTTGCCCGGTAAAGTATCACTCAACTCACAATAAAAGCTTCTTTATTTAAAAAAACAAAAACAGGCTTTATGCTTTTATACAGACTTGTGAAGCCCCCTTTAGTCAGTCTTCAAGCCTGGAACCAAACTCACCCTAGTGGAACAACTTTAAGTCAAACATTAGACAGGCCTGTGAGGTGAACTAGTAACATCATGGAGGTATGCACTCCTTAGAACAATCAACCATATGATATTTGCCCAGGGATAAAGTTCAGAAGGTAGAAAGGATGAATAGAAACAATAAACACAAGAAAGAAGTAAGTTGTAATTAATGTCTCTAAACAAAACGTATGAATTGTTAAATGGAAAACCAATTTTCTATGTTAAAGAAAATCCTCTCTTGGTTTCAGTAAAGGAGCAATGAATGAAGGTTGAAAGACCATGGGTCTTAATCATTTATTTTTGTGGTTTTGAAAGGTATTTGGGATTTAGAATAAATAAGGATACACAACATGTATTGACATTGTTGGTTTTTATTTTTAAATTATGTCCATTTTGTTGCAGATGGAATCTGCACGCAAAGCATGGGAGAATTCTCCAAATGTAAGGGAGAAGGGATCTCCAGTAACTTCCACAGCACCTCCAATTGCAAGTGGAGTCAGTAGTGCCAGTGGACCTAGCACTGCTAATTACATTTCCTTCTCAAGTGCATCAGTGCCTCAGATTCCTGTAGCTTCAGTAACTCCTACCACCTCATTATCAGGTATAAGGTTTTTGTACCGTTACTTTAAATACTTTGGATTATTTATAACTTAGGATTTTCTCCTATTTACTACCCCATAAAAATAGTATTACTTATAACAGATAAAAGATGAGATCCTGTCACTTTCGCTTCCTCCCCCAATTTTCCCCATTCCCACTTTTAGTTTGTTGTTAAGTGCCCTCAAGTCGATTCTGACTCACAGCAACCCTATAAAGGGTTTCCAAGGAGCAATTGCTGAGTTTGAACCTGTGACCTTTTGGTTCAACCTGACCTTACAGTCCAAGTATCACAGAATGTTTTGTTTTTCTCTTTTTACTCTAGGAAAGTCTACCCTTTTACCATATATACAACCATGTTTCTTTTATTGAAAACAAAAATTTCATTTCAAACTTTTGCACTATTAATGACTTTCCAAAATGGTTCCAAAGCATTGAAGACTCTTCTCCACCACATATAAAATATATCCAGCAGAGTATACTTTTTTTTCTTACTGACTCACATTTAGTGATTATAGTATTGGTTTTCAGTATTTTGGCATACTGTTCTCGTATTAGTATGCCTTTAGTTTGTACTACAGTTGCTTTGATGTATGTTATCTGAAGTCAGTATTTGCTCTTAAGACAGATCCAGAGATTATTATACACTGCATTATAATTTCAAATAAACAACACACCTTTAGAAAAAGTCTTCCAGCTTTATGAGCTGAGTTCTATCATATCTATGCCAGGCTTTTATTAGGCAGTCAGATATTTGCCGATAAATGAATGAAGGTTAAAATAGTTTCAGGCTATAACAATAAGGTTGGTGCTCAGCCTTCTTATATTGTGAGTCTTATATGTTGTTTGTTATTTCTTGGATTTTATAATCTTTACATTTGGTAACAGGAATGGATTTTTGGCAGGAGATAAATGTCTGATAATCATAAATGAGTGTAAACAGTAGCTTTTCAGTTTCTGCTTGCTGTTTTGAATTATGTACTCTAAGCACCAGCATTTTTAATATTCCATATTTCCCCTTATTCTGTCCCTCCCTCAAATGCAGGAGCTGGTACATACACTACCTCTTCTTTGAGTACAAAATCTACTACTACGTCTGACCCTCCTAACATTTGTAAAGTGAAACCCCAACAGTTACAGACCAGCAGCCTGCCTTCTGCAAGTCATTTTTCACAATTAAGCTGTATGCCTTCGCTTATTGCCCAGCAACAACAGAGTCCACAAGTCTACGTGTCTCAGTCTGCAGCAGGTAGTATTTTTAGGGTTAAATATTCAGAACTGAAGCTTTTTTAAAAAATGCTTATTTTTCTTTAGGTCTTTCCAATTTAAAGTTACTTGTGTGCTTTGCAGAATTTTTTCCATATAAAGTTGAATGCTCTTTCTATATTTGATAAATATTTTAGGGGTTTTGGTAGATGTTTCTTATGTATATGTTATATATATATTACACAAATTGGTTTCAGTCATTTGTAAAGTTATTTGTGCACTTGACATAATTCCATTAAAAATTGATTATCTGAAAAAGACTAGCAAAGAAAAACAAAAATTGTAAAGGTAGTAGGGGTGGGGTAACTTATCCTTCTAAATCATCATAATATTATATAAGGTAAATAATCAAACATTTGAAAAATTATCAAGCTTCAGTAATGATGTAAATTCAAATTAAAAGAACAACGAAGGTATTAGTGCCTTTCCATTTGGAAATATTAGGAAAATTGATAAAATTTGGTATCTGCTTATACCCAGCATCGATACGGATATTTGTTGTGTGCTATTGAGTCAGTTCCTACTCATAACAACTTTGTATAGCATTTCCAAGTCTGTAAATATCTATGGGAACAGAAAGCCTCATTTTTCTCCCCTGGAGCAACTGTTGTTTGCTGTGCAGTTAACAGTCCAACACATAATTCACTGCACCACCAGGACTCCTCTATATGGATATGTTGTTTTTGTTAAGTGTTGCCAAGTCAGTGCTGACTCATAGCAACCCTGTGTAGGGTTTCTGAGGCTGTACATCTTTGCAGGAGCAGAAAGCCTCCTTATTCTCCAGTGGAGTAGCTGAGGGATTTGAGCTATTGATTTTATGGTTAACCAGCCTAAGGCCTAACCCACTACACAGTGGTGGCTAACTAATAACAATATATGAGAAGCTCTCCAGAACGTGTTAATGCGTCAGACTGCAAAGTCGTTTGAACTGCTCCTTGGAAACCCTATAAGGGTTGCTATGGGTCGGCTTCAACTCGCCAGTACTTAACAACAACAACCAGAAGGTGTTATCTAAAAAGTTACAAAACAGTATGAATTTCTTTTGAAATAATTTGGTAAATTTTAGTTGGTAAAATTAAAAGTGGAGTGAGTTTGCTACATCAAAGGGTACGTTCATTTAAATTTTTTAACAGATAATGTGAAATTTTAATAATTTTATAATTGATTGGCAGAATGTGATTTAAGGGTTGGGCTGCTAACCAAAAGGTTAGTAGTTCAAACCCACCAGCCCTTAGACACTTTTCCTGCTTAACATGTGGTATCCAGCGTGGCAGTCTTCTTCCAAAAAGATTTACAGCCTTAGAAATCTTATAGGGTAGTTCTCCACTGTCCTATAGGGTCACTGTAGGTCAGAATCAACTCCACGGCAATAGAATGGGGTGGGATATTCGTTTTCAACACAAACATGTACATGCTATCTGGCTGTGAAGAACTATCCATTTAAAATGTGCTGAATGTCTGAAATGTAATTGTTTGTCTTCCCTGGGGACCAGTAACACAAATCCCAGCATTCTATATGGACACCAGCCATTTATTCAATACCCAACATGCACGATTGGCTCCACCATCCTTGGCCCAGCAACAAGGCTTCCAACCTGGTCTTTCTCAGGTAAGTATCAAAAACTTGTTTTTTTCTGTGTCTTTGTTTTTTCTCTGCATTTTTGTGTTTGCAATAATTATCTTGGATTATAAATAATAGACCATCCTTGACTCCGTGATATTGTGTAAGTAAATTTTAGATGTTTACACTTGGTTTTATGTTTATTTGTTTTTTAACTTTTTATTGTGAATTGAATGAAGGTTTATAGGGCAGATCATCAGTTTCACATTCAACAAATCATATACTCTGCTTCATTATATGTTATGGTTTCAACCCTCTCCATGCACCACCAGTTAACAGCATTTACCTCTGTTCACTCCAACCACTGCATTCCTCCATGTGTCCCTTGTCACCCTCATCTTTCCTCTTCCTACCTCCCTCCAGTTGTATATGCCTGTCCCGTCACCCATGTCAATGCGAGTGTGCTCTTTAGAGCATGTGTAAAAAAAAAACAAGCAGGAATATATAATCATTTAAACAGCTACAGGGCACCTTCTGCAAGCCTGCCTCCTGGCCATCAGCACACAACACAGCCTTTCTCTTTCCATGAGTCTAGAGTCCTCAGCTGCTTTATCTCTCCATGCCATCCCCTCTGCCTCCATCTCTGGTGTCCCTGCTTCTCTGGTTAGTGTCCCACGTTCAGCTCATGCTCTTCTCTCTTGATTGTCCTAAGGGTCCTCTGTTCCTGGAATGCAAGATTAACTACCTCCCCCCTTTTGTGTCACAGCGTTACAGCTGTGACAATTGCATTTAGATATGATAAAACTCCTCACTATTAATTGGTGAACCCCATCTCCTTTCACCTGACCCATCTAGACAAGCGGAAAACTATTCAGTGGGGATTCTACTTTTCCCCTGCATACGCTGAAACTAAACTCCCTCTTGAAAACTTGTAAGCCAGTCACTTTGTGCTTTTTAGCACCAACGCACCCCACCCCCATTTTAGTTAGCCAGTGTCTATTGCCCATCCTGTCAACCTTGTGTAGAGGTTATAGGTTTGATCCTTGATGTGAAGACTCCACGTGTTTTTAAAAGGAAGCTGATAACATTTTTACTCTTTTCATGACCCAAAAACTTTGTTTTCCAAAATCTGATTTGTGCATACAGTGTTTGTATACAACATGTTTGTATTATATGTATATTTTTTCATTGCATTACAGCCAGCTTCAGTCCAGCAGATTCCAATCCCTATTTATGCACCATTGCAAGGACAGCATCAAGCTCAACTGAGTTTAGGGGCTGGGCCTGCTGTTTCCCAAGCTCAGGAATTATTTAGTTCTTCACTTCAACCATATAGGTAACTACTTTAAAGTGATGTTTTAAATGCTGAAAGCAATATTAATATTCAGCCATCTTGTCATAATTCATATTTGCCCCCTTTGTTTCCCCATTGATTATTTGTCATTAACCCCAGCCTCTAATTATTTCAGCCACCTTTATTGAACCCAGTTAGGCTTCAGAGCTTCTTTTTAAGAAGAGGTTAACAATATCCCATGCCAATTAAAATGTGCAGAAATTATTGGTTAAGACAGAATTGAATTGCCCTGAAGGGTTTCCGTGGTTGTAAACCTTTAAGAAAGCAGACTGTCACATGTTTCTCTCATACAATGGCTGGTAAGTTCAAATTACTTACCTTTCAGTTAGCATCTGAATGCCTAACCACCGTGCCACTAGGGCTCCTTTTTCTGACTGCTAAAAACTGTAAATTCAGGTTCCCTCTGGGTAAGAGCTGAAACATGGGGAGTTAACGACAGTCAGTTAGGGGATGGAGAATAGTATGGAATGTCATAGAGAAGACAAGAATGACGAAGAGTAGAAGTGGCAAGTGTGCTCTATGGTATAGGAAAAAGCATTCTTTTGAGAATTCCCTGAGACACATACTAAGTTATTGTTACAATTCAGAAAGTAATCAAATGAAAACTGTTCTTTACTGAACTTCCCTTATGTAGGATAGGTATTTAGGAGCTCTGGTAGCACCATGGGTTAAGCATTGTGCTAACTGCAAGGTGGGTGCTTCAAACCCAACTCAGAAGAGAGATGAGGCTGTCTGCTCCTGTCAAGATTTACCGTTTTGAGGATAAGTGCATGACAGCAAAACACAAAGTCAGAGGTTTGAGCCCACATTTATTCTCCATGGGAGAAAGATAAAGATTTGTATTCAGAAATCCTAAATAGGGTCGCTATGTGTCAGAACCACCTTGAAGGCACTTAACAACAATAACCACAATCCTACAAATAAATGGCAGAGCTTGGATTCAACTTGTGTCCTTGTTCTCCAACTTACTATGTGTGGGGGATGGGCTGCGGAGTCAAAAGGTAGGGGCTTCAGCCATCCACAAGAAAAATAAAGTGCCTTAAGGTCATCTAATTTAAGAAATCTGGAAAGCTGTGCATTTGCTTTTGAAAATTTGTTTGATATTTTTTGAAGTGGTTCAGATAGAATTTCCATACTTTATAGGTTAAATTTGGCATCAGTTAATAAAGCTTTTAGATTACTATCAATGTAATGTAAACTTTATCAAAAGAGAATATAGATCATTAGTAAACTTGATCTTTATGGCTCTCACATTTTGTTTTTTGATTATTCCTCTTAGGATTATTTTTGAAATTTGTGGTAAAAATAAAGCTTTGAAATTTATAATCTAAGAACAGCAATCATAATCTCACAAACCAGTAAGCATGACTAATTAGTGATTAGTCTTTATAGCCATAGGAAGTGGAATGCCAGTGCATTGACAACCTGTATTTATTATCCTCATTTTAACATCTGTCTTTGGAAGGCGCATCTTTAAGATAATTTAGACCAAAACAATTCTGTAGAAATACAATTTTAAATCAATACTACTAGGATAAATATTTATTCATTTCAGTGTTTAAAAAGCATAGATTTGAGCCCTCCACTGCAGAGATGATACTGCTGTCTGGGTATAGACTATAGCCCAGCATTGTTTTCTGTTATTGCTGTTGTTATTTTTTTAAAGCTTTGTGGATAATCCTAATATACAACCAGGTTGAAAACTGAAGTCATTTGGGATACTTTCTCTTAGTTTTCCAGATTCCAAATGCAGTTAACTTCTAACACAAGCTTTTTCTCTTCAATACTTTCATAGATCACAGCCAGCCTTTATGCAAAGCAGTCTATCGCAGCCATCGATGGTTCTTTCTGGCACTGCCATCCACAACTTTCCAGCTGTCCAACACCAGGAACTCGCCAAGGCACAATCAGGTCTTGCCTTTCAACAGACTTCAAATACTCAGCCTATTCCAATCTTGTATGAACATCAGCTGGGTCAGGCATCAGGACTAGGAAGTTCCCAACTAATTGATACTCATCTTCTTCAGGTAAGGAAGGGGCTAAAACCATGCACTGATGTGGTGTTTCTGAGCAGCAGATTATTTTAAGGAAACGTGTTTCAAAGCGAAATTATTAAAGACATAATGAAAAACTAAGCTCTTCCTTTTTTATTTGTATTTATTTTTTTAAGTTTAATGCTGTAAGATTTCTAGAGATTGCTTTAAAGTCATAATGGTGACCTCTGAATTGAAAAGTTTTTCTCTCTGACTACTATTTTCATGTAAAATTCTTCCTAGGCAAGAGCAAATCTTACCCAGGCTTCAAATCTATATTCTGGACAAGTACAACAGCCTGGTCAGACAAGCTTCTATAATACTGCCCAGTCACCGAGTGCTCTCCACCAGGTAAACTATGGCATGGTAAATTTCCTCTAATTTCTTTGATATTATTATTATTTTGAATAGCGTTTATTATTTGGAAATTTAAATAGAACCAAGATGGGGCATAGCTTAGTGATTTTTCAGACTGTTCTCTGAGATGTCCTAGAAATTTTATGGGAGCTTAGGGGTCACCTATCTCTTAACTACTTTTGATTGCTATTTTAGAAGGTGCCAGTTCATAAATATACTCAGTTAGATTAAATAAATAAATAAGGTTAAATAACTGGAGAAGGTTATTGGGGGGGGGAGGGGGGCGTTAAGCGCTCATTTTGCTGAGACCTGAAAACACTATAGGATGCCTATGTAAGAATGTGTGATACACTTAAATTACATTCCCATTATCAAGAAACATGTGCGACAAGGTTGTATTCTTTCACCATGCTTATTCAACCTGTATGCTGAGCAAATCATCTGAGAAGCTGGGTTCTATGAAGAAAAACGTGGCATCAGGATTGGAGGAAGACTCATGAACAACCTGCGATATGCAGATGATACAACCTTGCTTGCTGAAAGTGAAGAGGACTTCCAGCCTTCGGTATGGATTTCATGTCAATGTAAAGAAAACAAAAATCCTCACCACTGGACCAATAAACAACATTCTTATGAATGGAGAAAAGATTGAAGTTGTGAAGGGCTTCATTCTTCTTGGTTTTTAAAGTGTTGAAGAGCAAAGATGTCAGCTTGAGGACTAAGGTGCGCCTGACCCAAGCCATGATATTTTCTTTAACCTCATATACATGCGAAAGCTGGACAATGAATACGGAAGACCCTGGAAGAATTGATGTTTTTGAGTTCTGGTGTTGGAGGAGAATATTGAAAGTGCCACAGGCTGCTAAAAGAACCAATAGATCCGTTTTGGAAGAAGTGCAGCCAGAGTGCTCTTGGAGGCCAAAATGGCCAAACTTCGTCTCTCATACTTCGGACATATCATCAGGAGGGACCAGTTGCTGGAGGCTGTCATGCTTGGTAAGGTGGAGGGTCAGAGAAAAAGAGGAAGACCTCCAACGAGATGGATTAGCCAAGTGGCAGCATCGATGGACTCAAGCGTGGCAACAATAGTGAGGTTGGCCCAGGATCAGGCAGTGTGTCAGTCTGCTGTTCATAAGTACCTACTCGATGGCACCTAACAACAACAATAATTTTGTTGTTATTTGATATATATTGTGAATATACTCAAAGATGGTCATAATTATTTCTGTTTTATAGTTTCACCTCTCAGTACCTACTCTGTTGTATTCAGTAAATAGAATGGAGATAGTCACTAAATAAAAGATGTTTCAGTATACTGAAAATTTATTTAAGAGCTATGCAACTAGATGGGGTCCTGGTATGGCACTGTAGGATAGACACTGGAGAACTAAACCATAAGGTTGACGGTTCAAACCCTCCAGCCACTCCACTCTTCAGAAACACTATACAGGGTCACTATCAGCCAGAACTCAGTCGCACATAACAACAACGCAGCAACATGTATATAGTTATAGGAATTTTCATGCAACCTGTATAAGCAAATTGCTGAGGTTCCTATGTGCTTGTGTTTTAGGTTACAGTACCTTTGCCAGCCTCCCAGCTTCCCTTGCCTAATTTTGGATCTACAGGGCAACCTCTACTTGCTTTACCTCAGACTCTTCAGCCCCCGTTACAACATACCACCCCACAGGCTCAGGCTCAGAGCCTTAGTCGTCCTGCCCAAGTAAGCCAGCCTTTCAGAGGATTGATCCCTGCTGGAACTCAGCACAGCATGATTGCAACCACAGGAAAAGTAAGTGAAGAGACATTTACACAGTTTACCAAGGGTTTAAGGCCATATGTATAGATGATACGCATAGTGTGTGTTCTACAAAAATAGAATATATCAGATTCTACCACCCTTCAGGGTGGTGAAAAGTATTTTTAATGTATATGACCCCCCTGGTTTTTACTTAATAATACTTCACAAATTTTGTACAATTGGATGTTATATAGTCTCTTAGACATTTTAGCCACAAATTTGGCCGGATAGTTCCATGATATTTGAAACCTAAAAGTTGTACTAGGATTCTTTGTCCGCTGCTAAATTAAGCTTTCTTCATATTGTTGTTAAGTGCTGTCAAGTTGATTCTGACCCATAGCAACCTTGTATAGGATTTCCAGGGAGCAGCTGGTGAGCTTGAACCACTGACTTTATAGTCTGACGCATTAGCCCACAGCGCCACACCAGGACTCCCTTCTTCATATATATAGAATATTAAATATAGCACTTAGGTTATAGAGTTTAAGGAATGTTACGTTTATGTTTTTTTTCTCAGACATTTATGTTTTTTTTCTCAGATGTCTGAAATGGAACTAAAAGCCTTTGGAAGTGGCATTGATATTAAACCAGGCACACCTCCAATCAGCGGTAGAAGCACCACACCAACATCTAGTCCCTTCCGGTAAAATGGGCATTTAAATTTACTTACAGAATTTCAAAATAATTTGTTTTAATATATCACTATGTGAAGTACAAAAGGAATCAGTAAGACATTCTGGTAGTTTTATCTAAAATTTAGTGCTATATTTTTAGAATATTCAGGGCAGATCTGTCTAGTATCCTTTCTCACCTCTGTTCCATGTCTCTCGGTTGTAATAATGTAATAATGTTTGGTAACTCACCTGGGTAGATTTTTATCAGACACAAAGTATTTGGGCATTGTCTGTAAAAAACTTAACGGCACTGCTGTACTGACCAGTGTTGGCTTCTTTCCAAGGGCTACTTCCACAAGTCCAAATGGGCAGTCCAGCAAAATGAACAGCATGATCTACCAGAAGCAGTTCCAGTCTGCCCCTGCCACTGTGAGAATGACACAACCATTTCCTACACAGTTTGCACCCCAGGTGGGCAGATATCAGTGAGAATGGGTATTATAATGTCTTGTAAATGATACCATCCTGGTGAATTCTCTGATTTTATCATCTTGCTACACATTAGCCAGTTTAGAAGCACAGTTTTCATGAAAAATAATTTCTGACTTTAAATATGTGACATTCAGATGTATTCTCTGCAATTTGTAGCGAGACACAGATAGTAATTGTATAGTTCTAAAGCAGACAGATACAGTCAAAAGATTCCCCACACAGCTCTGATAATCCTTTTCAGTCCTATTCCTTTTATCTTGAAGAAGTTGACTTTTCCGAGAAGGGTCCCAGTGCTTAAAGTTTTCTAGGTTTGAAACTTCTTAAAAAAAAAAAAAAAAAAAAAAGATACCTGTGCATTTTGAGGTGATATTTCCAAAAGGTGTTGGTATATAAGAAAGTTGACTTCTCTCTTCCTTTTGCTGATCACATTGAAGGACTAACTGAAATTGATAAGAACGTTCATAAATTTCATTTAGTTCCTAAGAAAACGTATTTGCTGAATTAATACTGTATTTATTTAATGTTCAGATTATGTTTGATATAGTTGTATGCCTTCTGTACAATTGTATCTTTTTAAAAAGATACGCTAATTAAGAGCCTTTCTATCCCCTCTTCAGAATTTGCAGCTGAGATGTTAGAACCAAATTAAATGCTATACATAGCATGCTTTGCCTGATTTTTCTGCTAGGCTACCCATGCAAGGCCTGTGTGTTCCTTGTCTATTAACGGAATGGCACAATCCATACGCTTCCTTTCAATGGCAGACTGGGCACAGATTTACTCTGGGATGAGCCAACCTAGTTTAGTTGGCTTTTTTTTTTTTTTTTTTTTTTTTTTTTTTTTTTTTTTTAACAGTTCAATGTTGTATGTTTTGTTTTTTTCACTCAGATTCTCTCTCAGCCTAACCTGGTCCCTCCATTGGTAAGAGCCCCACATACTAACACCTTCCCAGCGCCTGTTCAGAGGCCACCAATGGCACTGGCCAGTCAGATGCCTCCTCCGCTGACCACAGGCCTCATGAGCCATGCTCGTTTGCCACATGTAGCCAGGGGTCCTTGTGGATCACTATCTGGAGTCAGAGGTAATCAGGCCCAGGCTGCGTTGAAGGCTGAACAAGACATGAAGGTTAGTACAGCATTAACAGCCAACAGAGCAAGAGTCTGTCTCTGAACCATGTCTTAAGATGCCTTTGGACCCATAACCGTATATCCAGGCATTCATTGTCTTAGCAGACATAACTGAGCTAACTACTTTTTTTTATTTCCTTT